CAAGGTAATTGATGATGAGGCCTATGAGAAAAACAAGAATTACTTCATTGAGATGATGGGCCCCCGCATGGTGGATATGAGTTTTCAGAAAGGTGTAGTACCCTGTCCTCCACACTAACCCTAACATGCTTCTCTCCTCTTGTTTCTTTCTTTCTCCATCTGTCCCCTCCTCCCCTTTCTTGGATGTCTCTGGCTCGCTTTCCCTTGTTTCCTTTCTTGTTCTCTCTTTTCCTCTCTCCCTCTCCTCTCTTTGCTCCCAGCTGTGTCCTAACATCTGCCAGCCTGTCACATGGTATCCATAAGAGGGATGCTCAAGAGCCAATGGTAATTTTTGTAAGATGGGGAAACAGCTATGGGGAAAACAGAGAGAGAGACAGAAAGAGACAGAGACAGAGAGAGCCAGCCACAGCCCTGAGAGTATCATATGTGAGGCTCTCTGCTTCTCCTGAATGGCTTAATGTACAGGAAAGAAAAAGACCAGGTAGCACAGCACCAGGCAGGATGGCAGCCCTTGGAAACTCGTCCAGGCTCTCAGCACGATTTCCATGGGACAGCTATTCTCAGGGCTGTGCTTATAGTCCCTGGGCATCGAGAATCAATGTATTTAGATATAGGTTCTGTTTGTGGTTCATCCCATTACCCAAAGCAGGCCATAGGAGCCATCTTACCTGTCACATCCCTGCTATCAAGGTGTGTTTCTCTCCCTGACCTTGATTGAGCTGAAAGTACAGGTTTAAATTCCAGGTCTAGGTCAAAGGCCTACCTGCAGTACTCTGTTCTCCCTATTAGGGGCCTCTAGCTGTGGAGGAAGACAGTTACAACAGTGGGAAAGAGGATTCTGACCTGAGGGGAAGCTTCTCCAAGAAGTCACAGGCCTCCTCAGAGTGGATGAAGCTTTTGCCTCCAACTTAAATGTCCCCATACACTCCAGACCTCTTAATAAGCAAGTCAGAAAATCATCTTCTGGATAAATGATACTGTGGAGGGATAGCTGTCAGTATTTGAGGCAACATGCCTTCCCTGGCCAAGCTGTCAATCATATCTGTCCAGGCCATGCCCATCGTCGCAGAGCAGCCCATTTCCATCCCACAGCAAAGTCCCCACAGTGGGGAAAACCAGCCAGGCTTACATCTTGTAGACAGCCCCAGGGTCTGGGGCACAGAGAGAAATTACCAGAAAATGCTTCTTGATAATCAGTGAGCTTTGTCTTTTTTGGACACTGAGCAAGGTGTCCAAAAAAGTGCTAGAAATGTGACCCAAAAATATACTCATAAAACACACACACACATCAGCAAGTCCTGTCCTAACAAACCAACTCAGATCAGCCTACCATTTCATAGGTAGCAAAGATGAGCCTCTCTTTAGAATGAAACAGGAACATGAGAGACTCTGATGAGACATTTTAGGCTGTTTGTTAGCACTTCTTTACCCTTTGGAAAGCATTTAGGTCCTGAGAGAGAGGAAGAAAGAGGGGAATCAAGACTCACTATTGGGACCCACCAACCTCACTTGGTTCCATGAAGGTCCAGGAGAAGTCACACAGTGAGATCCAAGCCCACATAGCAACTTCTCCAGTGATGATAGGCCTGAGCCAGCCTCATGCCAGTGTTCCAAGGGGAGCAATTTTCAAGAAAACTTTGATTTCCTGATGATTTGTTCTTAAAAGACACAATGCTTTGTTGAGATACCCAGAAATGAAGAGAAACCTCCGTCACCTTGTCTCTCTGGGCCCCAGACTCTGGGGCTGTCTACAAGATGTGAGCCTGACTGGTTTTCTCACTGCAGGGATTCTGCTGTGGGATGGGAATGGGCTGCTCTGCGACCATGGGCATGGCCTGGACAGATATGATTGACAGCTCGGCCAGGGAAGGCATGTTGCCTCATGTCCCTTGTCTAATGATAGTCAGCACTGAAGGAAGCCAGCCTTGGGACACATCACCCTGATATGACAGATGCCCAAAGGTGATTTAAAGTGTGATGGTTTACATAGCTTTTTTCACACTTTCCCAGGAGTGCATCAGCTGTAAATATTAAAGGAGTCCTACATCATACAGTGATTAAAAACACACTTGTTTTTGTTTACACCATGAAAGCCCTGTGAGATAAAGAATGGGATCGTAGAATTCCACCTTCCTTGCTTTCTCTCTCTCTCATTTCCCTTCCCTATACTTTCCTTATAAAATTTTTTCTATGAGGCTCACACAAGAAGTGGGTATAAACACAAGGAAGGGAAACAAGTCCCTAGCTAGGTAAGTGTTGACATATTTCCTGTCGTAGAAGGGGCCTGGGGCATTCCCAATGGACCAGTGGTTTGCCTGCTGCCTAAAGTAAGGCCACTGCTACCATGTGACACCCAGGGGAATGTGCTTCCCGACTCACTTCCTACTAACCATCCGCAGGATCTAAAGTGACTCCTCCCCACATCAACCCCTCCTCCCCTCCCATCCCCTTGCTCTCCTCCTGGACCCCTTTCTTCTTTTGGCCCACTTTTCTTTGCCTCCTGGACCCCTTTCCCTCTCACCCATAAGGACAACTATGACCAAGGAGACAAGAAAAGCTAAGACCATTTTTTTTAAATATAAGAACAATCCAGTCCACCTTAGTCCTGTCAAAGCCACCTGGCGGGATGGGCTGCATGTGCCAGGAGTGATGGGGGATGATTTTAAAGGCTGTGCTCCGAGTGACCAACCAATTTGCCGACCCAGTCGACACACACTCTCTCTCTTGTTGTCCCTACAGGAAAACCATAAGGGTTAAAATAGTAGATGAGGAGGAATACGAAAGGCAAGAGAATTTCTTCATTGCCCTTGGTGAGCCGAAATGGATGGAACGTGGAATATCAGGTGTGAGATTCTTTAAAAAAAATTTTTTAAAAAAACAACCAAAAGAGCACATTTTAAACAAGCTGAAGAGCAACAACAACACAAAGCAGCTCTATTTTTTCTCCCCGTTTCTTGTCCCTTTTGCTCCTTCCTCCTTTTGACCAGCAGACTTTTTCTTTATGACTCTTTCCCTCCTGTATTCTCGCTCTCACCCCGTTTCGGTGTCATCTCTGCCTCCTCGGCCGTAGCTTCTCTCCGATCCTCCTTTCCCACCTTCGGGCAGCCCTGCAGCCCCGGCGCCTCATTGCCCTCGCCAGTTACCTCCGCCTTGTGCTCCAGTGACCTGACTGCCACCGTCCCCTGCACTCTCCCCTGCAGCCCCCGCCCCCCAGTAACCTGTAAATGTGGGGGCTCCTTGGTGGGCGGGGAGGGGGGGAAAGAAAGGAATGTGACACCATGCATGCCGGTGCCCCCCCTCCCCTCCTGCCCCTCGCCCTCCAGCCTGGATTGAACGGGGGGAGGGTCTGATGGGGCGGGGCCCTCGTTGCAATGATGCTTTGACCATTTTCTGCTGGTTCCCCAACCTCCGTTGAGTGCTTGGCAGGTTATTTACTTGCAGAGTGTCCCATGGGCCCCTCTGCCCTTCATGGAGGTAAGTGCTGTATCTGGCTCTTTCACAGTCAGGCAGACCGTGGCCTGAAAGGGTGTGCCGTTTGTCACGGGCCACCACCTCTGAGAGCTCTTTGAGAGAGAGCTGGCTTCTGAGGTTGCCATGTGATCTGCAGCCCTGAGCTATTCTTCTCCCCTTGGCACCTCTCCCCATCCCATTCTACCTCTGCTCCCAGTCCAAGGTAGGGTGCTTTATTCAGGCTCCTTTAGGATAACCAGTCTTCAGAGCAGAAACCTGAGAGTCTGCAAAGGGAAGTAAGTAGTTCCTTCCTAGCCAGAGGGCCCTCGAGGAGGACTGATACTGGGCAGGCCCAGAGTATTGACTTTTCCAATCAGAGAAGGGACTCTAAATGGTGTAGCTGGTGCTGATCCTTGAGAAGCAGGTGCTGAATGTTTCACAGAAGGCTGCCTTTGCCTCGTATCTATTTGCAAATGAGCATATCAATCAGATCCCAAGATAGCCCTTATCCCACACCAGAAAGGTGGCCTCATCTCCTTTTGTCTGGACACGCATCTCGGAATGCCTGCCAGGGCTCCATTCCTAAGGGATTGATTATGTTGCAACCAAGGTAGATATAAGGGAAGATTTCTTCCCTTGAAGAAAATGACTGGAAGCCACTACCTTGAAAGTGTTGGAGGAATATATGTGGGAATGGGGAAAGGCGCCCTTGGGAAATACCAAGAGGAGGACATTCACACTCCCCTTCAGGAGACATGTGCTACTGGGAGCCTCGTGGAAGATTAAACAGATTCACCTGTTTGTCAGATGGGGCGATTATTCTGCAATTACTTCATATTCACATCACAAAGAGCGTCATAAAGCCTTTCGCCCAAGGACAGATCTAAGTGACTTGGCACCTATGCTCCCAGAGGCTCGTTGACAGATGTTCTTCTGAGACCCACAGGATGGATCAGTTCTCATTATCTTCTGTGGACTTCCTCTGCAGACCTCACCACTTCTATTCCCACACTGGTTTGGGCATACCCGGTGATCTAGAAGCAGAGGGCCTCTCCATCTTCTATTACACATTCTCTCCTTGGCCATCCCGTGCGATGCTGCCATGAGCCTGACTGCCCAAGAGCGCTGGAAGAAAGAAAAAAAACACACACCTCTGGTTCACTGCTTCCCACGTTGTATTCCTGCCAATCCTCCAGTGTCTGCCACTGAGAATGTTCTCAGAAATTGTCTCAACACCTGCCCTACCTCATTCCCACCTCCCTTGTGCATTTACCCCATCCACATCCTCATGACTGGACGCAGCAGACACTAGCTCCATCAGCTTTCAAGACCCAAGTACATAGGTGTAAATGAAAGCAGCAAAAGGATCCTACAGGGTGGCTGGAAGGAAGGCAGTGGCTCCGGACATGAAGAACAGGTTGGAAGTCTGTCCATGACCTTATCCCTCCAGTAAAGAGGCTCTTCGTTTCTGCCTCCCCAACAAACCCCTCCCAGCAGCAGAACAGAGGGCGGTCAAATGCAAACACCTGTGGATACCCCAGATTTGAGGACCCCTTTTTGCTCCACCGGATTCTCTGTCCAAGGAGATGTCAGCAAAGCCCTGTTGGAACCTAGTCCTGGGGAAGGGCAGAGGTAAGAAGACAAGGATTTCATCAAGTCATTGGTGTGACATGCCCCCAGTTCTTCCCGGTGACCAAGTTGCCAAGAGGAAAGGTGCCAGTAGGACATGCGTCCCTTTCCTGGCATCCTGTTCTATTGTCTATAGGGCTAGTTTTTTATTTCTTCAGTTCTTCCCATATTTTGGCATCAGACCATGAGGTAAAAGGTCATAAAGCTTGATTGTCTAGATTCAGAATCAAATGAACACCTGTCCTGATTTCTAGAATCCCTAGCTGTTCTTAGAGTGAGAAAGAGTACAGTGGAAACTGCTTTTCATGATCACTGCTGCATGGGAGAGTCTTAGGCACTCAGAACAGTCAAAATGACCGTTGCATTCTCAAAAAAATAAAGGATTGGACTTGAAATAGGAGATTGTATTCTTGGCAAACAAAACAGATTTCAGAGATGAGATTAAAAGTTTTAGACAAGTTGGGGGAGGGTGAATAGGAAAAACAGTTGCCCTGGAGTAGAGTAAGTACTGGGGTCTAGAAGTACACTTCTGAGAGCAATGCTGAGTAGCATAGTGAAGGCTGTGGGGCCTGGGCCTGGGCATGGAAAGTCTCAGGTGGGAAGGGAAAGCACTCTCCCCCAAGATTGGGGCCTGTGTGTGCCTCCTCTTACTACATCCACAGGTTCGCCCTCACAAACCATCCAGATGCTCCCGTTTACTCACAGAGCTATGTTGTTTCCTGCTTGTCCCTGACGTGCCTGAGCAGGGATAGTCGACTCTCCCCTGACCCTGGGGATCAATACAGGTGAAAGTCCAGCTCCAGCTTCTCTCAACAGCAGCAGCAGGAAAAACACCTGGGAGGTATTGTGTCACTCAAAGTTGGGCTAGATGGAACTCACTGACCCGTCTTTACCTGTTAGGTGGAAAGTCTCAGGTTCATGTGGAGCATGAGCGGACGATGGTGAAACTGCAGCTGACTGCAAGCTAACTGGCTGTGCCGGGGATGATCCCGGTGTTGGGAGGCACGTCACAGTGAAAAGCAGGGAGGCAGGGACCTTATGGAAGAGTCGCCCCTTGTCTGGCCTCCCTGCCTGCCCTGATGTGTTTGGGTCTCTGGTCTCCACTGGATGTGGGGCCCTGGAAGGGCTCTTCCATGCAGACCCATAGAAAGAGTGGAATGACCAACCTCTCTTGCTACCTATCTATCATCTATCAATCATCTATCATCTATCTATCTATCTATCTATCTATCATCTATCTATCTATCTATCTATCTATCATCTATCTATCTATCATCTATCATCTATCTATCATCTATCTATCTATCTAATCTATCTATCTATATCTATCTATCATCTATCTATATCTATCTCTGTCTGTCTGTCTGTCTCATAGTAAGGAGATCCATTGATCTATTACCCCTTGGAATTCCATATGGGAGAAATCAGAAAAAGCCAATTATTGTTCTCCCTGCATTTGTACCATAAACATTCTGGATCCACATGTGCCTTCAGGGACTGTGAATGTGGGGTGATGGATCACAGGTCTAAGTTGTATTCCTAGAGATTTTTAGAAGAAACAATTCACAGACACCCTCCCTCTGACTCCCTCCTCAGCAATCTCCATCAGTCACCAGCTACACCAGGAGGATGTGGCAGGGTATTCCCAGACTTTTGTTTGACAAGAGCCAGGGAGTAAGGGGCTGTATTAAGATACCATCAAGATGAAAATGTGGTATGTCACAAGAATTTCTTTTTATTTTTGGATGTTAAAATCTAAAACAGTTTGGGTACATCTTTACTTCAGCTTCCCAGTCCATGTAGGGACCTATATTTGTCATCTCTCATCTATGAATAACTTACAGTCTATGAAGATCACAGTCTCTCTGGTCCAGAATATCTGGACTTAGCCTGTCCTTTCTGGAACAAAAAGGGCCACCATCCAGAGATGTAGCACCATGGGATTTATAAAAATGCAATGGCCAAAACAGTCAGCAAATAAGAAACCTTTATTGAATAACTACTAGTTGCAGTGTCTTTGCTAGGCACAGGTGATGCAAAATGGCAGGAGTGCCCGGCCCCAACCTCCAGGTCTTTCTTTCAGGGAAACTCAAAGTTCGGGCCAACATGGTAGCTATGAAGCCATCTGTGGCCAAGAAAATGTCATGGGCACTGGGAGGTGGAGCATGATCTAATGATGAGGTTAGGGATAGAAGACATAGAATGGGGCATGCTTCCACTCTTATACACCGTTATTCAGTGCCCCAAGCTCCTCTCCAAGCCCCAGGGTCATATTCTGCACAGATGAGCCAGCTATTCTGGCAGGGTTGCAGCCTGTATACAGTTTTCATGGTAACTGGGTTCCCACTCCTGTCCAGAATGGATGCGATAACCCGATTCCTTAGGAGATCATGAACGACCAACCCTGTCTGCTTCACCCACTTGGTTTCCCCACCCTCACGCCTCTAGCCCGGGCCCTCGGAGCTGAAGGGAAGGGGTGGGGAAAACTCTCATAGCTGCAGGGCCCTGGCGCTCAGCCGTCTCTCCAGCAGCTCACACCTCTCGCTGCGGTGCATGCTCCAAGTGCTGCCTTTCGCATGTGGCTGCAGAGCTCTCACCTTCTAAACTCATTGTTTTTTATGCTGCTGCAACCACAAAGCCTGGGGGCACGTTCAAGATGGGACATTAATGCTTTTTCCTTTTCTTTCCTCCCCTTGTCCGGTATCCATTTGCGAGCAGCGCTCCTGTTGTCTTCAGGTAAGAAGTGCCCTGCCCCTCTTCTCTGCTTCTTGCCAGTGCTGTGATTTTAGTTTCAGACAAATGTCCTGTGATTTATTTAATAGGAACTGTAAGCTCAAGTTAACCTGACAAGTTCTCCTAAAGACTACGTGATTTATTTCCTCACTTGAAGTAATCGTAAGGAAATAGACAATTCCTTGAGCACCATTTCTGTTGGTGTTTGTGGGTAAAGGCAGAGGCTGGGCCTTTCTGGGACCAGGAAGGGATGGTGGGCCATAGCCTTCTCTCGAGACTTCATTTATCTGTTATCTCAGGTTGTGAGGCAAGAGAGGATGAGAGTCAGAGCTGAATCTCCCAATAGGATCATGATGGGATTGGAAAGAAAATACTTTGATCTTGAGTGATCCAGGGGAAACTAATCTGTAGCTGCTGTGAGAACATGAAAAGCAATTTTTAAAGAATCTGGAATTGTACTTCATCCTGGAGATCTTCCATGTCAGCACAGCTGAGGTTTAAATTGCTAGAACTTTGAATTACTTGTTGTTGGTGCTTGAAGTCACATGTACCATGAACAACAAGAAGAATTAAGATATCATTGGGGGTTGGGGATAATCGCCTGTCCAGAAATAGAAATTTTGGAGTCTTTAGAGAGATTCTCACGCAGAATCCAGAGCCTGTTGTAGGACACACACCTACTCAGAGAGTATGCTCGAATCAGTGGGATTCAGTGATAAACATCTAACTGTGAGCAGAGAGGAAAGCGTGTCCATCACATGCAGCAGTACTATAGCTCGTGGTGCAGGCAGAGTGAGCTATACAGGATGTCTCAATATATTTTGAAAGAATATTTTATAAGTTCTTTGAACATATACAAAATTTGGGTCATTTAAGAGGCAAAGCACCTTATAGAATTTATTGGTGTTCAGAACCACCGATAGGCTATACGCTGGGTTTGAGAAAGGGGGAATGTATATAGTAAGGACATTTGCCTCCCTGGAAATGTAGGCAAACCCCTACATTTCCTTTTCTGAAAACAATGACGACAACAACAACTACTCCAGCTTCCTTGACCTCCTGCTTCTTCCATATACCAACAGGATAAGGACCCCCTCCAACCCCGTATTTTCCACTAGTCTCCCAGGGTATTAATGCCTAGCATCGGGTGTCCCTTCTCCACTTCACTCATCCTCTTGCCTGGGAAGACATTTGGGCTTCTTTGTTCTAACTTTTGCCTCCACCTCCCACCAGCCATACTTGACAAAGACTATGATTTAACTTAAGCGTCTTTATTCTTCCAGCATATTTGCTCAAATGCCAATAGAAGATTAAAAAGGAAACGAAGGTGTTGTTTTCTATTTTTTTCTATCTCAACCCACTAGACCTTTAATTCAGGAGCCCTTGGTTAGACTTTAAATTACTGGAAATTTTTGAGCCTTTGTGTGAACCGTCCTGGAAGCACAGGCGAACACGATGAGCGGTGCCTGGTGGTGAAAGACGGAAAATAAAGACGTTCCTCCTGAGCTGCGGCACCAAGGTCTGGGGCCTGAGGGTGAGGGCACTGGCTGCATTACCCCACTTCTCTCCGAGGGTGTGTGTCGAGCATTCATGGCAATTTACTCCTGTCCGGCCTGGAGAGCTCTTTGTTCTTCCAGTACTTGCTTGATTTTTCATCCTATTCCACCAGTCCCCCTCCCCTTTCTGGATCTGAGAGTTTACTCAGGCTGCAGAGCAGCATCGCCTGCCATTTGTTCTCTTTACTTGGAATTCTGAAGAGTCACATAAACGCACCACCAGAATCACTGCGGCCTTTCAGGTGTGAGACTTACCGCTCTCCCAAGAAAGTATTTGAACTTAAAGGATGATTATTACAAAAATGAGAAAAGGGAAGAATGACTACCACACCAAGACACTAAATGAGAGTTGATTTAAATGGAATCAATGAAAAGATGTGTGTGTGTGTGTGTGTGTGTGTGTGTGTGTATAAAACCTCTCTTGGGCTGAGGGAGATCCAAAGATAGAGGATTGGTTATTTGTCAAAGACATTTCTGCAGAAAAGCTAGATGGAAAAACTGACTGTCACCACAGGGGTGGACAGGTCAGTGGGCTGATCAATATCCTGCCAGATGGATATAGTGCTAGATTGATTGCTAGGCAAGGGGTTAGACAGGTACATTTATATGTCACTGGAGAGCTCATTATATTGGAATCAAGCTCTCGTGGCACATGTAAAGTATGACATGGGGAGTTGGGGAGGAGGGAGGGAATAATACTGTGGCTGCCAGAATAGTCATTGTGGGTGCCATAACCCACAGGGAGAGGGACAGACTACCCATGTTTTAAAGGAGTCTATGTCTTTTTCCAAAGGCTTTTTCTCAGAGTCGCTTGCAGTCTGGCTTCTAAGATCACTGACTTCATAGCCAGAACCCTGGATATACCCAGATTTACCTTCAGAATTAACTAATAAGAGGATCAGAATTAAAGAATTAAAAGAGGTCAGGCTGCTGGAGGGTGTCTGCTGACTAAGAAGTATACAGAAGAACCCAGAACCTTGAGAAATAATTACTTCTGAAAGGCATCACCAGCACTAACATCAGGGCAGCACCACGGACAGCTCCCAAGCATTTTGGAATTGCCTTCTGTGTTTGGTGCCAGAAGCCCTGAGTAAAACAGCCAGCTCAGGAATCCTCTGCGCACTCTCTCACCATCTTCGTTCAGGCCAACCAAGAAAATCCTTATATAAAATGGGCTCTCTCTGTTTGGTAACTTACACCCTTGGCTTAGAGTCCATTCAGAGAATTCCTTTCCTTGCAACCTCAAGAGCTTGAGTCTGACCTCTCCCCATGTGTCACCAATTCCCAAGATAGAAAAGGAGATCTTGGCCTCTGACCCAATTTATCCTTGAGATTTTCCAAAGACCAGAGCATTTCCCTAGGATACTCAGGGTGTGGAATGAAAGCCGTTAAGGCACCGAATAAAAGGATTAATTGCATGCAAGAATGTGGACTTGGATGGGAAAATGTTTAAACAAGCTCTGAGAGAAACAGGCTGCCAAGAACAATCATCTAATCGAAGGGGAATAAAAATATTCAATCTCTATTTCACTCTAATCCAGAAAGCACGTCTTCATAGTGAAGTGGTCTTCACACAGACCCTCCAGCTGAACTGGAAAACATTCCTAACCGTTCAGCTTGAGAAGGGACCACTGGTAAATGAGTCAAGATGCTGCGGGACAAAGGAAAGCCTCAGAAGAAAGTAAAGGAAGACCTTTCTTTTGTTGTGTTTTGGAACAAATATTTGTGTTCCGGAAGAAACATGCCTGCTTCCTATAGAAACCTTGGTGATCTTTCATTGGAAAAATCATGAAGTTTGGGGACAAGTCTTCCAGGTTTCTCATTGTGAGGATAATTTTCACTTGTATGATGTAGGTAGTCCTGGAAGCATCCCCCTTTCTCTTTTATAAAAGGGGCAGTGTCAAGAGTGAGTGCTGGAAGCAGATGTTAACACAAACCAGTGGACATTACCCTTGGATTAAATGTGCCCCTGACCACCAAGAGCTTTTACATGAAGTAGCTGAACAGTCAGGCACAAAAGTTCAAAATTGTTGAAGGTCAAGAGATATGTTCCCATCTCGCCAATAGCTTACCTAATGCTTTGGGGACTTCACTCGGAGGTGTTTCTCAGAAGGTCTTTGGGTCAGGTTGCCCACTGTGGTATAAAATGGAAAGAGAGGGGCTCATTCCAGGCCTACAAGGAAGCCTTTTATGGTCTGATGGTCATAGAGTGTTCAGCACTTTATACAAAGAGGCACCAAAAAGTACACAGAATCCCCATTCCCAAGAGCTATTTGCTTTCTGCCCACTGCCTAGGCCTAATGCTCTTGAGCTTTAGACTTTTAGGGGATGGAGAACGTGCTAAAGCTAGTCTGATTTTGTTTTGTTGCAGAGATGACAGACAGGAAGCTGACTGTGGAGGAAGAGGAGGCCAGGAGGATAGCAGAAATGGGAAAGCCAGTATTGGGTAAACACCCCAAACTAGAGGTCATCATTGAAGAGTCCTATGAGTTCAAGGTCAGGCCATAAGTGAGCTCTAATTGAATACTAGAGTAATGGGGTGGGAGGTAGACGACCCAGAGTGTTGGTCCAGTTTTACCACTGAATATATGAACTTGTAGAGCTGGCCGTTTTGTATCTGAGGAATGTTGTGAGGACACATAAGATTTGGAATAAATGGGCTACAAAGCCCCTAGATGTGCCATTGCTATGGTTTAACTATATTTTTAAAACAAAGATACTAAAATTTACTACTCCAGGGCAAGGTTTATTGACACCATTACGGTTATTCTCGATTGTATCGCTCTACATATCCAGTGTCAGCGGTCACAGCCGAAGAGAAGGGAAGTGGAAGGATTGTCCCAGCAGATGTCCCCTAAGGCCATTCCACGCATAGCTTGCAGAATGCGTGTGGAGCGCCCTGGGATGCAGGGTGCCTCTCATTCCCTTGAAACACCAGACTCCTCAACAGCTCTGAGCATTCTAACCTCATGGTTCCAAGTTTCTTCTCCCTGACAGAGTACTGTGGACAAACTGATCAAGAAGACAAATATGGCTTTGGTCGTGGGGACCCACTCCTGGAAGGACCAGTTCATGGAGGCCATCACCGTCAGTGCAGGTAAGAGGGTCACAGGATGGGCACAGGCCCTGCTGGGAGAAGCAGGTAGCACAGCCACAGCCATAGCCCGCCAATTTCCAGGAAGGCCTCTGTGTCTAGTCTTCCAAGCTCTAGTCCCAGATGTTTGTCTGTTTCACTGGGTCACTTTGGAAAAGAATCGAGAATCGTGGGGTGACCGAAAGAGCATGGCTATCTCTGGATTCAAGTCTTGGTTCTGCCATCTGAATTGGGACAAGTTATCCTATCTGGGCCTCAGTTTCCTTATCTAAAAAGGGAACTAATGCTACATTTCTCAGAAAAGTAAGTAGAAAGAAAGCGAGTCTAGTACCAAACCCAAACTCCATAAATTCTGGTTTCCATCATTCCTTCCTCTCATTCATTTGGCCCTCATTTTTGTAAAATGAGGGACTGTTTTGATTTAGAGACCTGGGATCTGGAGTTCATAAGGTCTTTGCTGTGACTCTGTGACAGATTTCCACCCTGGATGGTTCCAAACCTTTCCTTTGGCATTTACTGGCGGGTTCCCTCACTGGGGACCACAGCACAGCCAGGTCCCCACTGACCTGTTGGAATGGGGATGCCAAGGCTCGCACACCACCACCAGTATTGCCCCTCAGCACCACTGAGGCCTCCTTGCACTGCCTCGTCTCTTCATGGGAGGCTTTGTTGTCATGGCAACCCTGGGGTCACACCCCGAGGCCCCAGAGCCTCTGCAAAGCACAGCCAGGAAGAGAGGCTGCCCCACTTTTCCCAGCGCCTGCTTCTGATACTCCCAGTCCCCCCTCCCCCGTGACCTTACTTTGCCCCTAAAGAGACAATAAATGGAATGTAGGCCACCTAATCCAACCCCCTCCCTTTTCAAAGGAGGGAACTGAGGTTCAGAAACAAGAGGTGACTCACGCCAAGTTACACATTCTCTTTGTGGCAAAGTTGCAGTGGGAACTCGGGTGTCCTGACTCTTGCTCTTTAGAAACCCAGCCTCCAAGAGTTGTGTCAAAGCATTCCAGAGGTTGCCCTTGACCAGGCGCCAGCGTGCCTCAGCACATCCTCTCCCGGCTGCTGAATGGGCAAGTCTGCCCACGTTTCCTGGCAAGGACAAACGGAGCCCAAGCCCGCTCTGTCCCGTGGGGTATTTGGAGGACGGCGCTGGCTCTCTGGTACACCCGCATGATCGGGAATGACAGTCGTGCCTCTGGGGACTGCTAACGACCAGAACCACGAGGTTATTGCGGCAGTCATGTCAGGAAAATTAGAGAGGAGCCCCGCTGGCGTCCGGCGAGAGTGGGCACAGCACTGATTTCGCTCCTCCTCACCTAGGCGACCAGGCCGCCCACCTCCCCTCCTCTCTCCCCCATTGCCCTGGCCCTCTCGCCGTCTCCCATGCTAGCTCTTAATCTCTTTCCTCTCTTGCTTATTCCCCTGTCCCCGCTGTCCCCCTGTGCCCCGCACTCAAACTGACCGATGGGGCACCCCAGCCTGCTTCCCGTTTCTCAGCTGTTTCCTGGTGCCCGCGCCCCGGCCCGCACCGTCTGCCCAGGAGCGCGCCAGAGCCTCCCTCGGCCGCTGCTGCTCCTGGGGAGCGGGATCTGACCTCGCCGTCCTCCTGGCCTCTTTATCTGCCTCCAGCTGGGGACGAGGAGGAGGATGAGTCGGGCGAGGAGAGGCTGCCGTCCTGCTTCGACTACGTCATGCACTTCCTGACTGTCTTCTGGAAGGTGCTGTTCGCCTGCGTGCCCCCCACGGGGTACTGGAATGGCTGGGCCTGCTTCTCCGTCTCCATCCTCATCATCAGCGTCCTCACGGCCGTCATCGGGGACCTAGCCTCCCACTTCGGCTGCACGATTGGCCTCAAGGACTCAGTCACGGCCGTCATTTTCGTGGCGTTTGGCACCTCTGTGCCAGGTGAGAGTGAGGGACGCTTGGGTTTGCAAAGAGAACATTACTGGGTTTCAGTGACCCCTACCCTTTGCCTCATTGTCTTTCTTACCGTCTCAGATCTGTGGGTAAGGACCCTCTGCCCCTAAGGTGCACAAAGTCGATCGGAGATCAATGATAGCGTTACCAGTGACAGCGAACATTTCTTGAGCACCTTGATGAGTCGGGCACTAAGTAATTTACATGTTCTATCCCTGTAATGCTCACCAAAACCCTATTCAGTGGGGTCAGTTATTATGCCCACTTGACAGATGAGGAAACGGAGGCCCACAGAGGTTAAGTTGTCCGCCCAAGTAAATGGCCCAATTTCTTAACCTCCACATTATATAAATAGGCCTCAAACAATGTAATTCAAAGAATATGGATATTGTTCACCTTCCATTTCCCTCTAGAAGTCTCTGAGAGGCCAAAGACTAGCCTGTTTGAAAGTGTCACAACAGATATGCCCACAGGCATTGTTGGCCTCCCACTGCTTAACCGGGGCGGGGGAAACTTTTTTCTGCCAAGGGCCATTTGGATATTTGTAACTTCATTTACTGGCCATACAAAATTATCAACTTAAAAACTAGCTATGAAAAAAGCTCCTAGGTTTATTGAATTTTGAGTCCCGCCTGCGCTTGCCTTAGCGGGGCCAGACCAAATGGTTTCGCCTGCTGTATCCGGCCCTCAGGCTGGACGTTCCCTACCCCTGGCTTAGAAGGACACCTGTGAGTATAAAGTGTCTTCCAGTGGATCAGGCGAAGGAAGCTTAGCGATCCCTTGTCCTTTCATATGATGAATTACATATTCTTTCCTTACAAACCCCAGAAGATGAGCGGGCATGCCTTTATTCATTCATTAGACCAATATTTGCTGAGCCTGATAGAGTCTTGTGCCAGTTGCTGGGGCTACAGTAGGAGGTAAGACACACATGCTTCCCCTCTCCACATGGAGCTTGTAATCTAGCTGCAGAGAGTACACTCAGCTACTATAATTAAAACCATCTCGATAAATTCTGTAAAGAAAAAGTACAGGGGTTGTGCAAGTATAAAGCAGGGGGCCCGGGCTAGGCTGGGTCAGGGATGGCTTCGAAGAGAGGATGGATGTAAGCTGGACTGGAGTGATGAATGGCAGTTAGCAGGTGGGCAGGGACTGCATTAGCTCAGGTTCCTTACTTGAACCCTGAACCCCTGCTGGTCTCCCAATTGCTACAGGAAGAGAGGGCGTCTTCCTGTAAGAGGGTTAGGCTGAATCTCATCAGACAGGACTCTGCTGGCTGGACCCAGGGGAACCCTTCCAGGACCAGGAAAACAAATCCTTCTGGAGAGTAACTGAATCGACATCACCCTCTAACAGAACCTCTTCCCCAAACCCCAGCACAGACCAGTGCGATTATTTACACTTTGGTGATGCAAGAGGTTTGGCTTTTATGGAAATGTGTCAGGCGGTAGAAAATTAGATGGAGGGTCCAGGAAAGGCTTTGCGTGGGATGCCTGCTCTTCAGGTCTCCAGAGACCAGAACTATCAGAGAGGAAGGAGCAGATAATGGGAAAAGGAACAGACGTGGGAAGAAATTGCAGAGGATCAGAGGCAAAAAAGCAAGATCATGGGCAAGCAATGGCAGGAAGTTTTCTCAGGGGGATCTGAGAAAACTGACACCAGGGAGGCAGCTGGGAGAGCAGGGAGAGAGTTTGGGGCACTTCCAAGTTCTTGCAGTTGGTCTGGGGAACAGCGGCAGCCTTCGGGGCTTGACGAAGGTTATGCTATGGGCTCCTCAGCTAGTTCCGTGGCTTTGGCCGAAACTCTTTGGAGGTAAGGCGATGGTATGCAAAGGGCCCTTATATGAGGGTTTTAGGGTCAAGTCTTTTGCTAATTTCCCACTCGACCTTGGGTGGATTCCTTGACTCTTATTTTCCTTACTTGTAAAATAAAAAGGTGGCTAGATGTCCCTGATGGGCCTTCCAGTGCCTACAGTCCATGCCAACATCTAAAGTCAAACAGCCTGTAGGGCCATGTGCTCACATACTAACTGCAGAGGCAGAGCCCCTTCTTCCTGGCGTCCACAGCTCACCTGCATGCGTGTCTTCATCATGGTTCCCCAGCTTGTTCTCTGTCCCCGTAAATCCAGCAGCACCTAGCACAGTGCTGAGCCCACGGGCACTGAGCAATGAACTGTCTGTGTTCCATGAGTAAAATGCACCCCCCCCCC